CATCTTACCCCTTTGAATGATCTCGCCCGATCCATCCGAGTGTCTCGGCGCCGTCTTATTTGCGTGGCTTCTATTGCGGAAGATGTCTGCAGGTATGTTCAGCTGTTCTTCCTTCTTCACGGGATCGCCCTGTTCCCTGAACTCTGCGCTTCTGGCGCATTATGCGCACCTCTTGGTACCTCCGCCCAGGCGCCCCCTGCGCGCGGGCTCCGCGCACCCCACGCAAATTCCGATGAAAGGCTTTGAACATATGTGACACGGCTCATCTGGCGCACCCATTCGCGCTCGAATCGGCTCAGTCGCCTTCACACGAACTGGGCGAGCAACATTTAGGCACGGAGGAGGCTCAGCATACGTCGGATGAGCCGGCGCTGAGTTAACCCTCTCCTGCGATCCAACATCTTTCGGAGAGCCGCAGGTGCAAGCTCGATTTCTGGCACAACTCCTGTGCCAGGTTGCCTAGCTGTCCGTATCTTTTCTAACGGCTCCCTCGCAGTCCTGCGCTGCTCCGGGTCAGATATTAGCCTTCTGTTTTCTTCGCCCACGGCACGAATTGTGGGAGCATTGTTATTAATTTGCTCATCTGCGCACCCCTTAGCATGGTTCCAGGTTTCGGCCATCCTTCTCTGATCATCGTGTCTCAGTCCCTGAGCCTTCTGCCCCTGCCCCTGGAGTGTCCGCGCTGCTTCTAATTTCACCTTTTCGGCCTCTTGCAGCATCGCGTTGACCACGGAGCTCCCGGTTTGCACGTGCTGCCGGTTCTCGGGCCTCTCTCTCTCTCTCTCTCTCTCTCTCTCTCTCTCTCTCTCTCTCTCTCTCTCTCTCTCTCCTTCCCGCAGGGCGGCATCAGCTATCATTTGATATGACACTCGCTCTTTCGCCGCCTGCTGTTGGGGCGATGACAACATTTGTTCGGCCGCGCTCTGAATATTTCGTTGTTATCCCTCTCCTCGGGCGAAGCGCCGCTGGGCCGCGCCCGCAATCCCTGCCGCATCCGCCCCCGCTCGCAGCATCCGTCTCTGCGCCCTTTCCGCAATGGCAGCCTTTTCCTTTTCAGCTCCATCTGCCATTGCCCTCTCGTCTGCCTCGGATTCGGCGAGCCTGGGGTTGGCTTCTTCGGCGGCCGTCTCATCCGCACGTGCCTTAAGAAGTATATGTTGTATCCGTGCAATTGCTGCTCTCAGCTGGCCCCCTATCCTGTCTCTGTTTTTCTTCCCATTCCTGAAGGGCGATGCGACGGCAATTATGTTCCTCCAGCGCAATGCACTCTTCACAGAGCCACGCTAAACTGCATTCGGGCACACCTTCGAACATTGCACGCACACAGGTCGGCGACGCAAACCCCCCGGTTTGCGCGCTGCCCCCGGGCAACGATTCCCCGCCGGCGGCGGGCGCCAGCAGCTTTCCCGGATCGAGAAACTGCCGGCGGTCCTGTTCGACAATGGACGAGGTGATTCGAGGGCGTCAAATCCCCTGGAGCTGGAGCGCCCGGCCCTTGGGGCCTTTACGCGACCCCTGCTGAATGCGGGCGCATGTTGCCCTCGTCGGTCTCGACCCCTTATCCCTAAGAGTGACGTGCTGCCTCTACGTTAGCTCATCCCTTTCATTTTGCACCATGAGTTCACCAAGCTCTAGCGCGCTGTCTTGGTTGGCCCTGCGATAACGCTGGAGGATTAAGATCTTCAGTATCGCTCTTGGTTCTCTTTGTCTTCGGGAGCGGGGTCATGCCGGCCGGTTCTCTCGCATGCCATGCTGGACGCGTGGCATCGGGCGAATTCGCCCTCGGCTGAGCCGACGAACTCCCCCCTCCACGATCCGCCCCCCCTCGGTCGGGGCTTCCTTCGCCCCCGAGGTCGTCCTCTGGATCGAGAAGGGTCATCCGAAGATCCTCGGCCGGCGCATAATCAATCGCCTCTGTCTCCGTCGGGTCTGCGCCCGAGGCGAGCCCGTCAGATCCGCCCGGGAGAGGATTGAGGTGATGCGATGGGCCAGGCGACATATGAAACTGAGCATATGCTTCATTCGTTCCAATTGAATGTGAGCTCCCTTCGTATGATTGTCCGTCACTCTCGTCTTCACCCTGTCCATTCAATCCGCCGTTCATATGGGAACATTTCCTGGCGACATCTCCTCTCCATGGATCGAGTCGACTGGCATCCGTGGGCACGAACGCATTGATACGATTTCAGATGGTCTTCTGACGGAAGCACTGGCTGAGCCATATATACCGCCTGGCTTTCGAGCTCTTGTCTTCGTCTGGTTATCCATAGGGGAATCCCTTTTCTGTGAAATCAAACACTGACTCTAATGCTTGCCTTCTGGGAATATTGAGAGAATGAGGCCGCCCCCTAGAGGCGCCTGCCTTATCAATACGCTCGGGACGGCGTTGTTGTTCTATCATTCCGAACGCACCTTCCTGCAATCCCACGCTCAGCGAAGCCACCGGCTGAGTCGTCGTTTCGGCTGATAAACAATTTTTGTGCCTGGACATCGATAACCCCTGCAATATGTTCTGATATTGTTTCACGCTCGGGGGGCTCCGCCGAAGCCATGGCGAAGAGGCGAGGAAGGAGTGTTCCGTTAAGCTGACTGTACGATAACTCTGAAGGGAGGAGGCCGGCGCGCCGGCCGACGCGCGCGAGGGCGGTTTCGCCCCTTTTCCGCTATCCTAGAGCCGAAATAACTGCAGCAGCCAAACATGTCAGTGCAAAGGAGAGAAGACAAGGACAGCGGGATGGTGGTGCGGAGAGGACTGCAGTGACTAAGCGAGAAAAACGAGAAAAGCGAAACGAGAAGGGACGGGGGATAAGGGAGAGAGGGTGGAGGGAGGGAGGTGGCATAGAGCTGAGCAGGGAGGATAGAGGAGGCAGGACGACGAAGAAGAGGGAGGAAAGAAGAACACGAACCAGGGCATTGAGGCGGGAGTGGGAAGAACAAGTGGACGGAAGAGAGGGTCCCCGGAGATCCCCAACGGCCTCTGGAGGCATCCCAGAATTTCTGGAGGTTAACAAACGAGAATTGCGAAATACACGTTCCTCGATCCTCCAGGGGGAGGAGGTCCTCAAGGGGAAAGAGGGAGGATGAGGAGGAAGAGGAGGAGGAGAAGGAAGAGGAGGAGGAGGAGGAGGAGAGCCGTCACATCTCGCCCCCAGCGTGACACCTTCTGCTATGCATATGTATTGTACTTTTTTCGGGACAGAGCAGGCCGAGGGATCTGCAACATCGGTTTGAGGACTTGAACATCTCCACTGTAAGATCAAAGCCCCTGCGAGTTTTGCCCCTTGACTTTGCCAATGACAGGATGAAAAGAAACTTGAGGAAGGAAGAGTCGATTAGGCATTGGATGGGCTTGATGGCCCAAAGAAGGGTGGTGGGAGTCATGGAATGCCCTCCATGTGAAACGTGGTCCACGGCCCACTCGGCTCCCCTGGGTGAGCGGACCCTTCGGCGGGGGCCCCGCCCCTTGCGTATCTTGGAACTCCCGTGGGGCCTCAAGGGGCTCAGCGCCCAAGAACGAGGACAAGTGGCTGTTGGGAATGAGCTGCTCAGGACAACAGGCAGGTTTTGTTAGCGGCGGCCATCTGGAACACCCAGAGACTCCTTGGAGGGAGGGCTCGCCCTCGTCTTGGAGTCTCCCAGAGTTCGCGTAGCTGGTTCTTCTCAGCGGGGCTAGTGTTGCCCGGATCGACCAGTGCATGTTCGGAAGCAGGCTCTTGAAGCCTACAATCCTCCCAGAGGTCCATCTCCCCTCGCTGCCAAGGTTGACGAGGTGCTGGCAGGGTGCAGGGAGATTTCAGCACCCGGGGGGGCACTAGATTGCCGCGGGGATGATTGAGGCAGGGCGTACAAGACCGCGGCCCTGAAGGAGTACCCTTCAGAGTTGTGCCGCTTCCCTGCAGTCGTTTTTCTGGAGGGCTACCCCCCTGGGGTCCAATACGGGCTTCCAGGGCTCGACATTCCGGAAGCTACTACAAGGTTCTATATGCCTCTAGCCCCGCACGTGGAGTTCAGCCAGCAGCACGACTGCGCCCTGGGATGTGCCGTCACGTCCTAAGTAGGCGGGACCACCTCTCGGCGTCGTGTTTCGGAATTGCTCGTGATCGTGTTTCGGATTCGTCCTTTCAGCAGTACCGTAGAAGGAGGAGGACGAGCAGAAAGAGGAGGGGCAGGAGAGAGCGGGGGGGGGGGACTCACGGGCCCTCTGCGAGCACGTGTCCCCTGGTCCTGGCAAGCCACCGCGAGAGCAACCCGCCCCGCCCGCTTGGGTTGAGGAAGATCGAGGATTCGGTTTTCTGCCCGATTTGAGCCCCTGACGACCTCTGGCATCAGGATCAGGATGAGGAAGAGGTGGAGCCCCAGTCAAGCTATGACAACCAAACAGGGCCCGACGGTGATAGCGTGACGAGCAATGCGATTTGTTTCAGCATCAAGACAGCATGTCGTCCCCCGTCAGGGATTCGACTGCGCCAACCTGGTTTGAACATCTTCGTGCGACAGCATTGCTCAAATATCTGCGCAGGAGCACTGTTTTGTTCCGATGTCACCTCACGACGCGTGCGCTCCCAGCGAGGATGCACCCTCCGTGGCCCGACAAGGTTGCCCGCATACACAGCCAGAGGCCGCACCACGCTGCGGCTCCAACGCAGCACTTGACTCTCACCCCAGGCCCCTCGACGCCATGCGTTTCTCTTCACGGCGTGGGCGCGCGAAGCTCTGGAACCCGCCCCGTGGAGGAGTGTCGTCGCCAGTCGAGCCAGAATCGTGGTCGCACGCAGAGAACGCGAATCGTGGCGTCCATGCTGTCTTCCATCGACCTCGCCCTTATCGTCATGCTCCTCCTCGCTCTCCTGATCCTCCTCCTGATCCTCCTCCTCCTCCCCCTCCTCCCTCATCCTCCTCCCTCATCCTCCTCCCACATCCTCCCCCTCATCATCACCATTTCTCCTGACCATCCTCCTCCTCCTCATCATCATCCCTCCTCCTCGTTCTCCTCATGAAAATGAACCCAGTTCGATCCAGCGTACAGGATACCCTCATTGCCAGGGAGCGACCCGAGCGGCCGGTGGCACGCATGCCTTTTCCCACCACATGCCCCGACAGCACAGCAGTCGCCAAACCCACGGCGAAGCTAATAGACAAGTTGTACTAACTAGCGCTCGCGACGAAAGTCCAGCCCGCGACGAATGGCAGGCAGGATGCAGTCATGAAGAGCACACGAAAGATTCAACAACGTGCAGAGCTGGACTTGCAAAGCAACGAACATATCGTGACGTCACATGTGGATAAGGAAAGGCAAGGGACCGTCCCTTCCTCTACCAGCGGACTTCTGCGTTCATCGCCCCTCCTTTCCGAGGTCTCTTCCCTCGTGCCCGCTCGAGGATGAGGCCGTTCCAGCATGGCAGCTAATGCCTGAACCCCCATTCCATGAACGTCCGCTCGAGGTCCCGCAGGGCAACGAATGCCTGAACCCTCATTCCATGCGCGACCCCTCGAGGATTGTGCACTTCCCACACGGCAGCTCATGCCTGAGCCCTCCTTCCACGCGTGCAACCAATGCCTGAACCCTCATTCCATGCGCGCCCGCTCGAGGATTGTGCACTTCCCACATGACAGCTAATGCCTGAACCCCCTCTTCCACGCGTGCCCGCTCGAGAATGGTGCACTTCCTGCACGGCAGCAAATCCCTGAACCCCCATTGCATGCGCGCCCGCTCGAGGATTGCGCCATTCCAGCATGGCTGCTACCTACTAGACCCCTCGTCCCACGCCCACCCGCTCGAGAATCGTGCACATCCTGGATTCCCAGGCGCTGCTCCCAGGCGCTCTAGGGCCTCCCAAGCCACGGGCCCGCGCGGGCAACCAAGGACGCCAAAACGGCCTAACATGCCTCGAAGACGACCCACGATGGCCCCAAGGCGGCCCAGTATTGCTTCAAGACGGCCTCAAGATGCCTCCAAGAGGGCCCCAAAGGGCCACAAGAGGACTCCAACAGGGTCCGAAGAAGCCCAAATCATCGATGTCCCCCAGGTGTTTGACTCATTATCGCATCCTCGCCGTTTCGGGCTTCCGTCAGCTCAAGACGGCCCACGAGAACTCCACGATGACCCAAGAAGTATCCAAGGCGGCCCAAGACGGACCCAAGACGGCCCAAGAGAACCTCCCGTGGGACCCAAGACGGCCTTAGAAGGCCCGTGGACGGCCCAACACGGTGCCAAGACGCTCCCACGACGGCCACCAGACGCCCACCATGTAGCCAAGAGAGCCCCAAACCGGCCCAAGAGAACCCCAAGTCGGCGTAAGAGGTCCCGAAAACGGCCCAACGGGGCCCCAAGGGACTCCCAAGACAGCCTCACAGGAGGCCAAGAAAGCCCCAAGACGGCCCGAACTAGCTTCATCATCATTACCACTACCACCACCACCACCACCACCACCACCATCATCATCATCATCATCATCATCATCATCATCATCATCATCATCATCATCATCATCATCATCATCATCATCATCAGCATCATCAGTATCATCGTCATCATCATCATCACCACCATCATCATCAGCATCATCATCGTCATCATCATCACCATCATCAGCAGTATCTTCAGCAGTATCAGCAGCATCAGCATCAGCATCAGCATCACCATCACCATCATCATCCTAAGCATCAGCATCGTCATCATTAACATCAACAGCAGCAGCATCATTATCATCATCAGCATCATCATCAGCAGCATCATCATCAGCAGCAGCATCCGCGTCATTATCAGAAGCATCATCATCATCATCGCCACCACCAGCAGCATCAAAAACAACATCAACATCAACATCATCATCAACATCAGCATCAACATCAACATCAAGAACCTTATCATCACAATCGTGTTGACCACCATTGCGATTACCGCCGCCACCACCACCAACAACACTACTCTCGGCAGCAGCATCATCATCTGCATCATCATCATCATCATCGTCATCATCATCGTCATCGTCATCATCATCAGCAGCATCATCACCATCATCAGCATCATCATAATCGCCATCATAACTTATCAACATCATCACCATCAGCATCACCAGTATCGTCATCATCTGCATCATCATCATCATTATCAGCAGCATCATCATCATCATCATCATCATCATCATCATCATCATCATCATCATCATCATCATCAGCACCGCCATCATCATCAGCATCAGCATCATCAGCATGATCAGCATCATCAGTAGCAGCATCAGCATCATTATCAGAAACATCATCATCATCACCAGCAGCAGCATCGAAAACCCCATCAACACCAACATCAACATCAACATCAGCATCAATATCAACATAAATTTCCTTTGTCATCGCAATCGTGATCACCATCATGGCCATTACCGCCGCCACCACCACCGCCACCATCATCATCATCAGCATCATCATCAGCAGCAGCAGCACTATCAGCATCATCATCATCGTCATCGTCATCGTCATCGTCATCATCACAATCATCATCATCAGCATCATCATCATCAGCATCATCATTATCATCAGCATCAGAATCGCCATCATCATCAGCATCATCATCATCGCCATTATCACCATCATCATCATCATCATCTTCACCATCATCGTCATCATCAGCATCATCAGCATCAGCATCATCAACATCATTATCATCAGCATCATGATAATCGCCATCATCATCAGCATCATCATAATCGCCATCATCACCATCATCATCATCGTCACCATCATCGTCATCATCAGCAGCATCATCATCAGTATCATCATCACCATCATCATCAGCATCGGCATCATTATCAGAAGCATCACCAGAATCACGATCATCATCAGCAGCATAATCATCAGTGATGGCATCATCATCAGCAGCAGCATCAGTATCAGCATCATCATCATCGATCAAGACCATCATCATCATAATCATCATCATCATTGGCATCATCACCAGCATCATCATCATCAGCATCATCATCATTACCCCCACCACCACCACCACCACCATCAGCAGCAGACGCACCACCAGCATTACCATTATCCTCATCCTCATCCTCATCCTCATAATACGCACGCGGGAGCGACTGGCCAGCGGCTCGCGCAGCGAGCGCTGAATAGGACACAATTTCCTCCATCCGCACCCCCTCAAGCCCTGAGATCCCTTGGAGTCCCAGCTCCCGTGCAGCGTGACGACGTCTCGAATTAATGCCACTCACGGTGGGCCGCGCTAGAGAGCCGACAGAAAGATGCACATTCCCCGCGCCTTTGTAAGAAAAGGCAAGCCCCAGACGGGAAGATGAAGGAGGTTTGGGAAGCAGACAGGTAGAGAGGGGCTGGCTCTTCAGGGGGAAAATCGTCGATCATGAATCGACGATAGCATCTCCAGATCGGCGATAGGCCCCGACAGCGAAACGGCCCGCTCCTGCGCCAGGTGGGGCACCCAGGCCCGGATCAGCGCTGACTCGGGCGGCGAGGGGATGGTTCCCCCGCCTGAGCCCATCCTTTCCTGTCGGCGCCCCTCTGAGGAAGACGAGAGCGTGGGAGACGTGCTTCTGTTGGGCCCCACCCGTGCGCGCGCGCTGCGGAGCCGCACCGACTCCCCAGGGGCCGGCTCTCGCAGGGACCCACCCTGGCCTCAGAGGCCACGCGACCTGGCCAAACGACCGCAGGCCAAGGCCGCAGTTCCCCGACGCCGCCGGCCTGTCACCCCGTTACCATCGGCGTGGGCACCCCGAAGGGGTTCGCCGAGGCTGGCGCGTGCTCCGCGGCCTTCGCCCCCGTGGTCGCCTCGGGCTTCGGCTCCGCGCGCGCGCCAGAGATCAGCCGATCCAGTGCCTCCAGGGCGCGCTTCAGCTGGCTGCACTGCTCCTCGGCGAGCGTCTGCTCCACCAGGCGCCTGGTCATCTCTGCCCCCTTCTCGCGCTCGGCGGCGGCCGCCTGCTTCTCTGCTGCGACCGCAACCTCGAGGGCCACCTTCGCCTCGCCCACCGCAACCCTCGCTTCGAGCTCCGCCTGTCGCTCCTCGTCGTGGAGGGCCCACAGGCCCAGCGCCTCCGCGACGGCGTCGGCCTCCTCCTCCATCCCGGCGGCGAGCCTCGAGTCCTGCTGGGCCTTCGCCGAGGACAGGATGCCGGCGTAGGAGTCCAGCGCCAGCTTCTCGAACGCGCCGCGCGCCTCCGGCGGCGCCTTCAGCGATGCGGGCAGAGCGGCCACCAGGGCCGGCTCAACGCCGTGGGCCTTGGCGTACGCCTGCACGGCCTCGGCCGCCGTGTCCCCGCCGTCATCCTGGCAGGAGCCAGTGCTCAAGCAGCGGAAGTCCTCCACGACGGCGGCGAGCTCGGCCTGCTCCGCGCGCAGCTTGTCCCGGGCCTCCACCACGATCGCCTCCCTCGCCTGCGCCTCGGCGTGCTCCTTGTCGAGCGTGGCCACCAGCGCGTGGTGCGCTTCGCGGGTGGCGCTCTTGTCTTCCACAACCTTCCTGGCGGCCTCCGCCGCTGCCGCGGCGTCTTTGCAGAGCGCGCCGCTGGCGTCCTGGGCAGCGCGGGCGGCCTCGACTCCCGCGCCGCAGCGCAGCACGCGCTCCTCGGCCGCAGACACCGCGCCCGCGAGGGCCTCGCGCGCGACACTCGCGAACTGGGCTTGGAAATCGTGCCGGGACTCGGCGCTCTGCGCTAGCGCGTGGGGCAGGCCCGCCACGAACATGGCGCGGTCATCGCTGGGGATCTCTTCGACGGTAGGGAGCAGCTTGAGGATTGCATCCAAGTCCGCGCCAGCCATGGGGACCCTGCTGGGCGTCATCCTGAGTGACCCGATATTCTACGAGTTACCGCTACCACGCGCAGGTCGGAGACACATGGCTGCTCGGACCTCGACGACTTCAACGCGCTTTCGTCGAAGTCTGGAATGCCATCCGTCTCAGACCTGTAGCAATGGTAACTGGTGTAAGATCGGGTCCTGAGTCCTGTGCGAACAGAAGTCAAGCGGGGACAGGAGCCGGCGCTCACCAGGGCTGCTTCTCGACACCCTTGAGCCAGATCGGCTACAGCTGGCTCGTCCTGGTCCTACCCTCCTCGCCGATGGCATGATGGTCAGTCTTCGACACACCCCAGAGCCACACCATGGCTGGCCCAGAAGGGGGAGACGAGCAGGTCCAGAGGCGCCCAACGGTTACAGAAACTTCGAACATGGGAAAACAAGCCTCCAATGGGGGAGAAGAAACACCAGAGCGGAGGTCGAGACCTCCTCTATTGTGGCGGCTTTGCAGTCCTTGTGGGGTGGCTCCCAGGCCTTTGACATTGTGACTTTCTCGCGACATGGCACATGGTCCGAGAGCTCACGATTCAATCCCCAGGACCAGCTTTCGTCGCGGACGATGTTGTTGACTGTCCCTTGACTCGAAAGGCGCCTCGGGCCCAACCATACGCAGCTGCGAGTACCACAAGGCAAGTGACACACAGGATGGGAAAGAATCGTTTGAGGGGGGCGCCAACATGGCCAGGTGGCGGCGTGCGGACTTTGCCACGTGGGCGCTCGGTGAGTTCCCTACTCGGCCACTAAACGCGGGGTGGGTGCGACGAAAGTGGTGGAGCCGCCATGCGGACTTTCCCACAAGGGCCTTCGTCGGAGTTCCTTATGGGGCCACGAAACGCGAAAGGGGTGCGCCGAAATGGATCCGTGCCACCATGCGGATTTTGCCGCTGAGGCCTTCGGTGGAGCTTCCTATGGGGCCTCGAAACGTGTGAGGAACTCACCGAAATTGGACGGGACTGCCATGTGGACTTTGCCTCTGGTGCCTTCGGTGGAGCTCCCTACGGGGCCACGATACGTGTGAGGGGTGCGCCGCTATAGACGGGGGACGCCACGCGGACGTCGCCACACAAGGGCCTTCGGTGGAACTCCCTGTGGGACCGCGAAACGCGTGAGGGGTGCGCCAGAATAGGGCGGGGGCACCATGCAGAGTTTGCCACTGGGGTCTTCGGTGGAGCCCCCTAGTTATGTATGGGGCTACGAAAGGTGCGCCGAAATGAATGGAAACGTGGATAGCAGAGGCCAGAATGGCAAGAGGGAGGAGAAGCGGCGAGGTTGCATAAGTAAGACGTGGGCGCTGCTGCTTCACCACGACGACTCAACACCACAGGATGGTTGGGAACAATTTATCTTGGCGAAGGGCCCAACCCATTTATGCAGGCGTGGGTACCGCAGGGTAGGTAGTACGAAAAAAAGGATAACTCCCTATTGGGCCAAAACGTGTGACGGGTGCGCCGAAATAGGACTGGGCCGCCAAGCGGGCGCTGGCGCCAGTGGTGGAGCTCCCATGTAGGGCCGCGGAAGGCGATCGGGCCCGATCGCAACCACTTCGGACTGATCGTCGACCATTTAATCGGATCACAACCGGTTGCGATTGGGCCGAATTGGTTGCGATGTTCTTGCGGGCGCTATTATATTGTACCCCAAACAGCTTGCTGAACGGGGGGCTGTTGTGGTAGAAGCTTACTCCAGCCGGAGGAAAGGGGAGCAGAGACATCCTCAAGAAACCTGACCTGACAAGAACGGGAAGCGAATGTTCGAACGTTCGTTGCAGGTGTGGCATCACATGGGGACGTCAAAACTGGAACGCTTGTGCGAACAGGAGGGGGCTGCGCGGTGCCCGAGTCAAGGATCCCTCGAAAATATACGACGCTCGCGCTCCCGAGGCGCAGATCCCTTGTAAAGTACACGCGATACGCGCCTCCGAGGCCACGACCCATTGCAAAGCACTCTGGGTTCATGCCTCGGCGACCAGGACCCACAGAAGTGCAGCCAGATTCACGCCCTGGAACCGCTATTACTTGTATTGTGCGCAAGCGGTCAGTTACCACGCGGCCCCCGCGCCCACCTTCAAGATCCCGAGCTATCCGCCGTCCCCTTGGGGTTCGGTCCGGCTGGCTTGCAGGGGGGGGATCCGGTTAAACGGAATAGATCCCTCACCCCTCCCAGGAATGCCCAGGATGCCTCCGGCCGTCTCCGGCCACTCCAAGATGCTCCAAGACGGCCCATTATATTTTGAATACGACTGGCGATAACCCCAAGACGGTCCAAGAGGCCTGTAACATGAAGCCCTCTTGGATCCCTCTGGCGCCGTTTTCGGGCCCTCTTGGGCTGTATTGGGGCTGTGTAACCCGAATTCGGGATAAGGAGATGGAAAATCTAGTGACCTTCGGTCCATCCCGCCACCGCGCCCGGATATTGAGAATGAGACGAAGTGAAAGTTCGTTGGGCCCGAAAGCCGCAATTTGGAAACCTGACCGGACAAGAACGGGAAGCGCCGTTTTTTATCCACCACGTGCGTCAGAGACCGTATTGGCGAGAACGTCAGAGAAACCCATAAACGCAACAGAACAGACTAAATGGTGGCCTGCCGCGCTGGTCTGTCGAGGTAGTCTGCTGCCCTGGCCACATCATGGTGTCGACACCGTGCTTTTCTCTCGGCCACGCGGGCCCCCACCCGTTGTCGCCCAGCCTACTTTTTCTGTTCCAGCCTGTCTTGTCTTTTGTTTGTCCGTCGTCGTCGTCGCGTGCCTTTCCTTTGTCGTGGTCGTCGTTTTCATTATAATCGTCCGCTGTTGCCGTTCTCGCTGTCGCCGTCGTTATCATTTTATGATTGCGGTCGTTTTTCTGATTGTTTTTTTGTTGTTGGATTCCGTGTTCGGTTGGTTTTTGTGTTATGTTTGTGGTCGTTTTCTGTCATCGTTTTTTGTCGTAATTTTCGAGATCGTTATTGACGAAGACGACGACGACGACGATGACGACGACGACGATCTGCCGTGCTTCTGTGGCGTCTGCGGTGCTCCTGTGGTCTGCCGTGCTCCTTCTTGGTTTGCCGTGCTCCTGTGTGGTCTGCCGTGCTCCTGTGCGGTCTTCCGTGCTCCTGTGGTCTGCCGTGCTCCTTTGGGGTCTGCCGTGCTCCTGTGGAGTTTGCCGTGCGAACGTGTGGTCTGCCGTGCTCCTGTGTGGTCTGGCGTGCTCCTGTATGGTCTGCCGTGCTCTTGTGTGGTTTGCCGTGCTCCTGTGTGGTCTGCCGTGCTCCCGTGGGGTCTGCCGTGTCCTGTGTGGTCTGTGTGCTCCGTGCTCCTGTGTGGTCTGCCGTGCTCCTTCTTGGTCTGCCGTGCTCATGTACGGTCTGCCGTGTTCCTGTGCGGTCTGCCGTGCGAACGTGTGGACTGCCGTGCTCATTTGGGGTCTGCCTTGCTCCTTTGTGGTTTGCCGCGCTCCTGTGTGGTCTGCCGTGCTCCTGTGTGGTCAGCAGACCCAGGGCTGAGGGAAGGCTGGAGCAGTGCTCTGGTGGTCCTTCACCCGCCCAGCTCCGTCCCCTCCCACTCTGGACCGATCTTGCGGGAAGCTGGCTTGTGGCAGCGCATCGCGCGTCGGCCGCCAGCCCAGGTGCCGGCCCGGGCGTTCGGTTCGAGCGCCGGCCTGGGTGCCGGAATCGGCCCGGAAGGGGTTCCAGGGCGCCGGGAGCAGAAAATCAATATTTTCGAAAGAAAAATGTGTCTTGGAGTGGCCTTTTTTCCGCACCGCCTCGGAATTCAATTTTCCGGCGCCGGCCGGCGCCGGAACCGGCCCGGGCGCTGGCCCGGGTGCTGGCCCAGGCGTTTGGCTCGAGCGCCGGCCCGGGTGCCGGAAGCGGCCCGGAAGGGGTTCCGGGCGCCGGGAGCAGAAAATCAATATTTTCGAAAGAAAAATATGTCTTGGAGTGGCCTTTTTTCGGCACCGCCTCGGAATTCAATTTTCCGGCGCCGGCCGGCGCCGGAACCGGCCCGGGCGCTGGCCCGGGTGCTGGCCCGGGCGTTTGGCTCGAGCGCCGGCCCGGGTGCCAGAAGCGGCCCGGAAGGGGTTCCCGGGCGCCGGGAGCAGAAAATCAATATTTTCGAAAGAAAAATATGTCTTGGAGTGGCCTTTTTTCGGCACCGCCTCGGAATTCAATTTTCCGGCGCCGGCCGGCGCCGGAACCGGCCCAGGCTGCCGTGCTCCTGTGTGGTCAGCCGTGCTCCTGAGGCGTCTACGGTGCTCTTTTGGGGTCTGCCGTACTCATTTGGGGTCTGCCGTGCTCCTGTGGTCGGCCGTGCTCATTTGGGGTCTGCCGCGCGCCTGTGAGATCTGCCGTGCTCCTGTTGGGGAAACGCCAGCGGCGTTCGGGGTACAACAAAAAGGCGCGTTTATGTTGTACCCGCGCGCGGTCTGCCGTGCTCCTGTGGGTTCCGCCGTGCTCCTGTGGCGTCTGCCGTGCTCCTGTGGCGTCTGCCGGGCTCCTGTGTGGTCTGCCGTGCTCCTTTGTGGTCTGCCGTGCTCCTGTGGAGTCTGCCGTGCTCCTGTGTGGTCTGCCGTGCTCTTGTGGTCTGCCGTGCTCATTTGGGATTTGCCGTGCTCATGTGGGGTCTGCCGTACTCCTGTGTGGTCTGCCGTGCTCCGGTGGTCTGCCGTGCTCCTTTGGGGTCTGCCTTGCTACTGTGGGGTCTGCCGTGCTCCTGTGTGGTCTGCCGTGCTCCTGTGGTTTGCCTTGCTCCGTGTGGTCTGCCGTGCTCCTTTGGGTCTGCTCTGCCGTGCTCCTGTGGTCTGCCGTGCTCCTGTGGGTTCCGCCGTGCTCCTGTGGCGTCTGCCGTGCTCCTGTGTGGTCTGCCGTGCTCCTTTGTGGTCTGCCGTGCTCCTGTGTGGTCTGCCGTGCTCCTGTGTGGCCTGCCGTGCTCTTGTGTGGTCTGCCGTGCTCCTGTTGGTCTGCCGTGCTCTTCTGTGGTCTGCCGTGCTCCTATGGGGTCTGCCGTTGTTCGGCCGTCTTGAGGGCACTCTTAGGGCATAGTCTGCCGTGCTCCTCGTCTTGGTCTGCCGTGCTCCTCGTCTTGGTCATCCTTTCCGTCGTCTTGAGGGCGCTCTTGGTGCCTGGTCTGCCGTGCTCCTCGTCTTGGTCTGCCGTGCTCCTCTCGGTTCCTAAGCCTGGTCTGCCGTGCTCCTCGTCTTGGTCTGCCGTGCTCCTCTCGGTTCCTACGCGCGGTCTGCCGTGCTCCTGTGGGGA